GAACTTGAAGATTTGTTTTGTTTGTTTATAAGCACAAAGCTACACAATGGACTATCTGTCCTATAACTACATTGAATATCAAAACCCGGTTTTTAGCGTTACAAGCTTTCAGACTTACTGCTTAGCCTCATTTGATATGGTAAACAAAGAATGTGTGTGATCTGTCATGTAAACTGAAAACATATAAAGGTTTTAATTATACATTGATTTTTATGGTGCGTAAATGTGCATTAATAACTGATTTAGTCTAAGCAAGGTTTAGTTTTATTTGTAATAAGTAAAATATCGAAACTATCCGAATATTATTTGATGTCCGAGCACATTAGTTAATGTTAAGCCTTGTCAGCACTTTACATACATTTTTGTTTGACGTGTGATGGCTTGCGTACTAGTTTTCTGTAGACTACGTTTCTACGATTTTTTTCCTGTTCTCAGAAATAGAAAAACATTTCTTCACTCCGCTAGTGGTGTAGATGGTACAATTGGAAGTGTTCGTAGAGAATAATGGGAGGGGGATCACAGGATCCACCTATAAGAACAATGCGTTTGTTTGTTCTATTCATTTCTTAATAAGTGTTTACACCTGAGATACTTGGAAATTGAAAATTACACTTTGTACAGCTCGCGGTGTTAGCGATGCACTTGAAAAGTTCTGTTGATTTTCACTTCACTCAGACAATCGCTTCAAAGAAAGATGGAAAAACCCAAACAACCGCTCCAACCAGAGATAAGATCTGGCTTCATTTGTGGTGTTCATTCTTCAGACTTGGATCTGAAAACTGATGAGGAGGTAATGAGCTGGGTAGTTTATCAGGAAATGTGTCAATTATTTTGAAAACTCATAGGTAGCGCCTGATTGTTTTGCTGATGAAAGGATCTTTGGTGACATCCTCTAGGAGATATTCTAACGTTTGGTGAATATCATTTGGAGAAGTGTCAAGCCTCTTCTAGAAGCGGTTTATGAAGACTATTTACTATTTCTCGGATTTGGAATCTGAGGATTCAGGTTCTTAAGGAAAATCTGCTTGTGGCTGTTTGTTTCTCACTTCTATGATTTCTCTGGGTTTTATGGTTGGATGTCGAGGGTTTATCTGTGGATATTAAGACAACGCTTTCTTCTTCAGCTTGTATTTGAGTTGTCTGGTCTGTAAGGAGAATTTTGTTGGTTTATAACTTGGGTTTCGGAAGTGATTTTGGCGAGGGCATTCTTGTTTGTCGTGGAACGAAGGATGTTGTTCTAGGAAATTCGGAAGTATTTAATAATTTATCTGATGGAAATTAACTACTATCGTCATGAACAAGGTAGTTTTTCCGATTTTTCTGGACGTGATCCTGTTGAAGACGTGAATTTTAAATGACATGTCTTTTTCTAAAGGTTGTTTGATTTCCTGAGTAGTAGTGGAAAGATCCACATTCTTCAGAAAAAATAGGCTGGTACTGCTTAATGGAAGATGATACTGTAATGGGGGTTGAGATTTCCAGGGTGAACAAAGGTATGTGAAGTCTTCAGGTGATCATGGTAGAATGAGCATTCCACCCTGAAGAAGTCTTTTGCATTTCTCGGCTAGGAGCATAGGATCAAGTTCGTACTTTTTGACGAAGTCACACATTTGTCTAGAACAGTAAGTGCTTGGCAGATAGTTGATAATCATTGTAAATATCATGGTATTCCTCCGATCTTGGTCACTTTTTCTGTATCTTGTGCTATTCTGCCATTTGTGTTTTGTGAAGAAGAGGAGAAATTGTAAAGCAGTATGACGGCCTTGAGAGGGGAGATTCAGCTATTATTGGTTATTAAGAGGGTTGTTGAATCCTGTGTTTGTTAAGTTTCTGTAGTATGGGGTTACAGACCTAAGTTATTGCTAGTTTCTGGACCTTGTTCTTGGTTGGTCTTTGATTGATTTAGCTTTATTCTGAGAGCTTCTTTGATTTTGCTAAGTTTACACTAGTTGTTCAGTAGCTATAATTTTGTAATACTTTTATTCACATGAATGTCTTGTGTTGTGATATTCTGTTTATGAGAGCCTTGTTGCATTAACATGTTATTTTAGTTTCCGAATGATTGTTTTTCCTGTTTTTTCGATGTAGGTTTCGCCACAACTGCAAAGGATACTAGAAATTACATTTTCATTTCTTAGGGTTACTAGATGGTTTTCTCGAGTAAATAATTTGTATTGCAGCTACTGAGAGGTGTGGTTTGTTATTTTCCTGTAAAGCTACTGTTCAAGCTGATGTATTACAGTTACAGTTTAAAATAAGTTAAACCTTTTTTTTTTAATACATTTCACTTGTTTTTAACGGTCTTAACTGCAAGTAAACAAATAACTGTTATGAAATGTCAATATACTCTGATATATCCAGATTTGAGCACACTCACCTCACCATATCGATTGTACTCGGTATCACAGAACGTGTTATTTGATTCCGAGCCACATGTGAGGTGTTCATTATATTTGCATATTTCCAATGGTTAAGGCTGATATGACACAATTATTTGATACTGCTGCCAATGAAAGTAGGCCTCGATCAGCGTGAAAGCGCGGAGTATTCTATACATGAATAAAAGCGCAGAGTATTCTGCACCTGAATAGTGATCGTAATTATAAGATGAAATTCAAGACTAACAAAATTTACAGGAAGATGACAGCCTCGGGATGGAGGGGAGTGAATAATACAGTTAGTTCACATATCTATTTATTCTTATTCTTGTTCGCCTAATTATCGAAATCAATTCCAATGGTACACAGTGATTCAATACCATGAATAAAGGCAGTAAAAAGGATAGATAAGAATCTGACCAAGCAATACAAAGAATGAATCACACTTTATAGGAAGAACTCGAATATGCTAATACATTGTCGTACCACTCCATATGTGACAAATGGCGTCACCTACGACATATCTAGTACTTTTAGATTTCGATCACGGCAAATTCTCGAATATTTGATATGATAATACTACTAAGTAAAGTAATTCTGGAAGAATGTTTCATAACCCTTTCATATAATGCTGTAAATGTTCATAAAATCTCATGAAGCAGAGTTCAGGAAAATAATTGGTTTTAAAACAATTCGAAACAATGCCCTTATCTGCAAACTGAAGCCTATGGCTACTATACAGAACCCTTTGACCCATGACAATAATTAAAGTAAAACTAGACATTTTTTGTGATATCGTTGACGAAGATACACATGTCCAAAGTTCGCAACCTTTTGGCCACACTTCAAAATCAACAGCTTTTCACATGAAAGATAGCTGAAAAGTTTGGAATCAAAACAATTCTTTTCAACCTAATACTTGTCAAGCTCCCGACCCACACACCCAAGAAACAATGGTGCTTTTGATCGACTTAAGCATTATTTATTTCAAAAGGTGCCCGGCATGGCCAGGTGGTTAGGGCACTCGACTCGCAATCTGTGAGTCACGAGTTCGAGTCCCTGTCCTACCAAACATGCTCGCCCTTTCAGCTGTGGGGGCGTTATAATGTGACGGTCAATCCCACTATTCGTTGGTAAAAGAGTAGCCCAAGAGTTGGCGGTGGGTGGTGATGACTAGCTTCCTTCCCTCTAGTCTTACACTGCAAAATTAGGGACGGCTAGCCCTCGTGTAGCTTTGCGCGAAATTCAAAAAACAAAACAAACATTTCAAAAGTTTTTGGCGTAGCATTTTTTCCGTGAAAGCTTGTAAAATAAATTAAATAAAGCAAAAAAAAGACGTAAACATTTTATTGTGATTTTTGTTTAATGATTATATCTTAATCTCAAACACTGTTAATCAGTTTTCGTTTATAGAAGATCCAGAGCCTGTTTGTTAATAGAAACACATTTTAAAAGCTTCTAAAATAAAGACAATAAAACCAGTTTATAAATATTTCACGCTAAAGAGCTGATACAGCTAAGATTATATGTACATTTTAACTATTGTAACAAAGTTTTTCACATCAACAGAATATCGAGAAAATTCTCAACAAATACACAATAAACGGGTATACTCCACGTTTTTTGGGCAAGTTTTGTTAGGTTTTAGCTACTGTGCCGTGGCCGTCGTCAACCTCAAAGAATATATGATACGACCGTTTAGTGTCTGTAATTTTAACCCGAACAGTACTGTACGCTATATTTGGGCTAAACGATCAGATACCCCCTAAAGTCCAGATATAGTCGTCCCTAATTTTCATTTACTGATTAGAGGGAAGGCTGTCAGACAGCAATTTTGAACCAAATAACGGGATTAACTGTCATTCTTATAACACCGATAAGTCTGTCCGAATCATTCAATCAGAACAAAAATGACACGCGCTTGTGCGAGAAGGATTACTTAGGTGTTGGCGTATTTATAAAGTAGCGAAATATTACTCCCAGAAATCATAATACGATGATGTTATTTCATAGTTATTGAAACGAATTAATAAAAATACTTTGAAATACGGGAAAAAACCTTACCACTCTCTTAACCAGGCTTATGAAAAAAAAAGCCTGGAAATTGGTCAGAGCTACCTTTATTATACAGCTAACGATTTCTACAATAAGCATTTGGTTTAATATAAATTCTTGAATTCCGTGTGATTAATGGGTTATTTGAATGACTTGTTTGTTAGAGCGCAAAGTTACATTGAGCTATATGGTTTGTCCGCTACGAGGAATCGACCTTCTATTTTTAGTGTTGTAAGTCCATAGACTTACCGCGGACCCATCGGGATGCTATTTGAATTACCACTATATTAGGTTTCCACATGTAATACTTTTTCAACTAGCCTCAACCATGCATTTCAAGGTTAAAAACTTTAAAAAAAAATCATGGGGAGAACCACATTTAAATATAGTTTATTATTTCTTTAGGTTTAATTAGAGATACGTTTATTCATATATTCTTTAATGCAATGAGACAATAAAGTCTCTGTGAATCTTGCTTGCTTTCAACTAGTTGATGTAACCCTTGGTAACACCTCACTGATTCGACGAAATCGACAAACACAAAAGAGAAAATATGAGGGGACTCACCTCCTTTCGACATCACCCAGTCGTACCAATAAACTGGCTGCTTCAAGTACTGAGACATCATACTTCGTAGTTGAAGTGGTCTACAGTGGTGTTGTAAAACTATATTTCAAAATATAATATATACATATATATATATATAGGTATTAATTTTTAAGTTGATATTTTATTTTTAGAAAATTTCCATACGCAAGTCTTATCGATGGTATTAAAGAATTCTGACAAGTTTATTAACTATAAAAAGTAAATATTTGCGCTTTAAAAGTAACTAAATTATTTCTTGCTTTATAACAAGGGTGACATAAAAAGATGGGTTACGTAAAGTTAATAATTAAAAATTAATTTTCTAAGACAATTATTTACCTAGTTCTTCTCACAATAAATTCTTTAAAATAAACATCAGTTTTGAAAGATATTTACGTTTTTACTCAAAATTTGTTTAATTCAGTAATTCACACATTATTTAAGCGATTATTCTAGCGTAACTTATTACAGTGTTATAATATCTAGTGGTTCGTTATGGTTATTGTAAAATGTTTCAAGTATTTAGTATTGTGTGTTTTCTAAGAAACCGTTTGTCAAGTTGCTTTTATCAAAGGAGTTCTGTCTTTTAGGAAAATGTTAATACGTTACGAAAATGTGGTACACTCATCGAACAGAAAAATGTCTAGTAATTATATCCGAACAGTACATGAACCATCCTTCAAGCTGTTTTTTTTTTTTTCAGTTATTTGTATGTCATTATATGCTAATTACATATATCAATTGTCACCAATTATCATGCATTAGATATATTAGTTTATTGACTTAAAACGTGCAACCTTTGTTTTATTTATAGCAAAAATGAAACAGCTACTAAATGCACATTCCCACTCAAATGAAATAAGTGTTTAAATTTCTTAGAATATAACATATACCAAGAAAGAGCTACAGCCCAACTTTTAATAGTATGTAACTGATAACTGTAACTACGTCTAGCTTTCATGAAATTTTTGGAATAATTAACAAAGAGATAAACCTATTCTTCCTGTGAAGCTGGACCAGAAGCTAGAAAAACAATCTCAGAAACATCCTATCAACAACATATGATACATTATTAACAAAATTACGTTAACTTTTACCTAGTAACAGGTATTATCATTCTTATAATAAAGCGTTTAGCTGGTAACAGGTATTACCACTCTTGTAATAAAACTTTTAGCTTGTAACAGGTATGACCTAATTATCAGTCCGATGATAAAACTTTTAGCTGGTGACAGGTATGACCTAATTATCACTTATATAATAAAATTTTAATTTCTAAAACGGAGTTAATATTATATGGTTGTAACAATTGATGGTTTTTCAGAAACCCTAAAACCTGTGACTCAAGCACAAGAGAAGAGAACAGTGACAGTAAAAATTTTGTCTATAAACCATCATTAGAGAAAACATCAATATAAACAAGCTTTATAAAAAAAACGTTTGTGAAGCTATTCTTTCATGTAAACAGTAATATCCGAAATTATACCAGCAGTATTACTTCCACGTGATTATGATGTCTCTTCAAAAAGTCGGAATAGAATGTTTTTATATCTTATTTTACCATTCATTGTTTTCAGAAACAGTTAAGTACTATTGTTAGAACGTGTTAAATCGTTGAGGAGAGTTCTTTTGGATTATTTGATAAAACTAGTTAGAAGTCCAGTTTACATAATGATAACTAATTAATTTGTTTCTTCATTAACATTTTGCTACAGGCTACATTCACTAGCAGATCTATAATACCTTCACAAACAACATTTCAACAGAAATTCCAATGTGAACTAACTCACAAATAAACTTGCTTGTAGAAATTCAAGGCAAACACGCTAACTCACTAACTTGATCACTGACGTACAAACTTTCACTCTCCACATCATTAACTTACAATTAACTAATTAACTAACTTAACTTAACTCAATCCACCAGGCTGGTATTTTTATATTCTATTCGTTCTCAGCTTACTACACAGTCCTACGGCTGAGGGTGGTCCTGTGGATATCTTTATGCCCGGACATTTACTCTTCATACATCATAACAGCATCATTCGAGGTTCATAAAAATAAAGGGTAGACATTTTGAAAGCCGGCAGTAAGGGAGAAATTCAAGATGGTCACTGAGAAGGGCAAATAGTTTTGGGAGTCAATAAATCCCTTTATGGTGTAAAAAATGAAATTAGTCCTTAGCTGTCTGAATAAAATTCAAGATGGCTGCCATCACATGCAATGAAGTTCCTTTTAGGAGATAACGATGTCCAGGGATATTTTTGTGAGTCTTGTTAAAGCTGTATATTTCATGTGAGTGGAACTTTAATAAATGTTCAAATTATTTCAAAAATATACCCAGATATAAATAAATGAATACTAAACTAATATAAAAATATTAACACAATGACTACAACAAGAAAAATCTATCTTTTTCTCGATTTGATGTTTGAGTTATTCCTAAGGAGTAAATGCTCTATTTGTTTAGTCTTGATCAGGATGACACCATGAGGCATTTACTGCAAGTGTAAAGGATACCATTAAGATGGGACAGTTTGCAAAAATCTTAATGTTATTTTAATAGTGCCTGTGACAGTTCCACCATCAACGTGACTGCTTCATTGTTATTCAACATTTCTGTATGCTTTTCATTAGACTGCTGATCTGGGATTGATATAAAATTATGAGATATGACTTTTTTCAGCAAATGCGTATTTATATGGTTCACTAACTGTGTATAGTTTTTCATATGTACATGTAATATTTCTGCAGCAGGTAAGTCATCTTCAAGTCATCTAAACTACAAAATTTGATGAATTATAGTAAAAGATAAATCTTTTTATACACTTTTGGGGTTGAATGCTTTTGATGCGCAATGTATTGTTTATCTATCTTCATATATTTGAAGCAATTCATAGTCGCACATCCTTTGCTATACATGAAGTACTTTTTCATTATAATGGCCATTCTAAATAATTTTGAAAGCTCAGGACTAATTGTAGTATATATAACTGAAATGAACTTTTTGACCCCCAAAACCCATATATTAACATCAAAATAATTTTGCTATCTGCTCCAGTACATGAGATATGGCTATTTACCCCTTGAGGCCGCCATCTTTACTGCCATTTTGAATAACTCAAATGGGTCAAAACTAGTATTATTGTTAATGTTGTCAGCTGTTTTATTGACCCCAAGACCTAAATCTATCCACCCAAATCATTGTAATATCTACTATAAAACACGAGTTATGTTTTCTTTTACCCCTCATGGAAGACATCTTGAATTTCTCCCTCATTGCCTGTTTCCAAGATGTCTTCCTGGATCTTTAAGAATATCTCTGATACCCATATGAAATATAAAGATTAATTCTTGGAGCATAAAAAGTTTCACATAACCCACCCACTATAAGCAAATAAACTAACAGGGAACTTTCAGATTCTGCTGAGGTCTTATCTTTCATAAAATTTCTAGAATTCACCAAAGTAAAAAACAAACTCCCTCTAGTGAACAACAACATTAAAATAATAAAAGTATAACCTACAACACTGTCCCTTTCCTGGATTTTAAAGTCCCTTGAAAAATCTTAATACACAAATAAAACAGTGCACTAAATTTAAAATCCCATAATTAGCAATAGAGTAATTATTTACAATAAACAAAATTAATATCCTCAATTACGCATCACAGTCATTATTAATCGAAGATGTTAAAAACAAAGCACAATAAGAATCTGATTAATAAAACTAAATCTCTTATATCTTATTGTACTGTATCTAAACTGTCCATTCTCAACATCTTTTTGACCGTTTTCTTTTCGAAGGCTCATGGTATGCAGATGAGATGACCTTTTTCCCCCATTATCATCACTTGTTATCCTGTAACTGGGAAAGTTATTCCTAAATGGATGATCAAGTGAATCTACTGATGGCTTTATCTTTGGTGGTCCTCTAAAAGGGGTCTCATTTTATCACTAACTGATTTAAATCTTTCCCGAGTATAATCATGTATGACATCAATGGTGTACATTACTCTTTCTATTTACTTTGTATAAGACTCTGCTGAATTACTATCCTTAAGCTGTGAGAACAAAAGGTCCAATGGCAACTTAAGTTGTCTCCCAAGCATTAGTGGTAATGATGAGTTGCCTGTAGCTTCATGTATTGTTGTTTAATAATTCATAAGTAAACAGTGGATTATCATCATCCTCATTTTTTGATGTTCATTCACATAGCTGGTTAATCGATTTAAAAGTGCATGGTCTCATCTTTCCTCCATCTTATCGGAAGATAAATGAAGGGCTGTTTTCCTGGTTGTTTTGATTTGAAGTATCCGACACGTTTTTAAAATGATGCTGATTCAAAGTCCCTTCCCTGATCTGAGTGAAATTCCGTAGTTACCCCAAATCTTGAAACAAATCCACTGATGAGTTTCATTGCTAGAATTTTTACTTCCTGGTTAGGAACACAATATGCTTCCTTTGTTTGAGTTGTATGGACTGACTGTTGCTATGAGAGTTTTTCAGCACTTTTCTTGATCTACCCAATAATTGGTTTCAAACTCGTATATTTTGCCTGAGCACCCTTCAGGTGAGTGTTGGGCCACAAAATTTCCTTATCATCACTGCTGGATGTCCCACCTTCGACTATACTCTGCTGTACTTTAGTTTGGTCGTCTTTATTATCTCTAGCTTCCCTTGTTTCACATTGTTTTCATTATTCATTAACAAATGGTCTTTGAGATAATGCATCAGCATGTCCATGTTTCTGTCCAGGGTGATGCACTATGTTATAGTTTGTTTGTTTGTTTAGAATTAAGCACAAAGCTACACAATGGGCTATATGTACTCTGCCCACCACGGGTATGGAAACCCAGTTTTTAGCGTTGTAAGTCCGCAGACATACCGCTGTGCCACTGGAGTGTCTATGTTAAAGTTGAACTCCTGGAGTTTCTGGAACTATCTTTCTACCTGGCCTTCTGGATTGCACTTCAATGCGTCATGAATTGTCATAAGTGTAAAATAGTCTGTATTGTTAATGATGAAAGTTACTTAAAGCTCAAGAAACACTTAGTAGCTCTTTTCTAGTTGTACAATACCTACTTTCTGTAGCATTTATTTCTTGGCTTGTTATCACATGTTCTTTTCCATGTTGTACTTGTGACAACACAGCTTCCATTGCAAAATCTAAAACTGTATCTAATATTAGTGGATCTTCAAAGGTGAATAATTCTTTCTTCAGTTTATTGAATGCTTGTTCACAGTGAGCAGTCTAACAAACTTATTTGATTTTTCAAGTAATTTATGTAATTATTTCAGATAATTATTTTACAAAACTCTTATAGTATAAGCACAGTCCAAAAGATCCTCTTTGGTGCTGGCCAATTCTGAACAGATTTAATCTTAGAAGGGTTTGTAGACACCTCTTTTCTATTCACTATCATCCCAGAATAATTCACACTTCTTGGGATCCAGTTTAAGATTCTCTTTCCTCGACCTATCAGTGGATGAGTAAGACAGAGAGAGCACACTCCATTAGTTGTTGAAATACTTTAGGTGTATTACATAATCCGAAAAGTAACACAACAATTTTCCACAGACAGTTTCCTGCAGTAAAGGCTGTCTTATCTCTGCTTGCTTTTTTTGGCTAGCACTTACCAGTATCCACTCCTATGATCCAATGGTGAAAACCAATTTGATACAGAAAAAGCATTCCAAAGTAAACTCAGTCATTGGCAGTGGGTAGGTATCTTTCTTTTTGACTTCATTCACATTCTGGTAGTTAATGCTAGTGGATCCACACTTTGTCTTCAGAAGTACAATAAGTGTTACTCAAGAACTAGTACTTGGTTCTATTATTGCTTATTCAAGTTTACTAACAAATAATCTAGAGATGCAGAAACGTCATAATTCATCTTAAATTAGATGCTCAGAAATAAAAAAATAAAAGAACCTTGATCCAGTGGCCGTGACTCTTATGAGTAGGCTTAAGTCTTAGATGCTTTCTGCAATTAGTTTTACATTAATGAAAAATATATTTTATATAATGATCAATTACAGTTAACGTGTAAAGCAAGTTTCAGACAACAAGGCCAAAATTAAAGAGGCGTACGAAAGGAAATTTTCATTTGCTTTTGTGGTTTAGAGAAAAGCTACACAGTGGGCTATTTGCTCTATGCCTACTCCGGGGACTAAACCGCAAACCCCACATAATGAAACAAATTTAAGAACAACGACCTTTCTACAACAGGCTGCAGACGGTGAATGATATACATATATATTGTTTTCCACTAGTGAGGCTTTCGAATGAGGTTAAGTCTGACTAAAGGCACGTGTAACAATCCTACTTTAGCACTATTCTCTTAATAAGGTACATTTTACACTTCTACACTGCAGTTAGTACTTTAGTTTTATCTGCGTCTCTTTCATTTGTGGTGTTTCTTTATCTTTTCTGGCAAGTTACTTTAAAATATCATCGATGGTAAGCGCATATATGTATATATGATTTAATGTTCTTAACAACAAAATGATATCTTTATAAAAAAAAGTTTTCAATGTGTTCTGTCACTGTAAACTGTTGAAACTCAGTAGTATTTGTTATCAAGGTGATTTTTAAAATGGTCTTTGGGTTAATGCTCTTCATATAATTACTTCTTAAAAATATTTCTGTGGAATTACAATTAAAAGATCCGTTTTAACTCTGCATGAATACGCAATCTGAAATCCTTTATTTTTATGAACGTCCATAAACACCTCTCTAAACATTTCTGACATATTTCACGGTGAGATGTATTATTTTGATAGCTACAAACGTAATGAACGTGTAGCAGTTTACCACACATGTGGAAACAAAACCTACACCATGATCAGCTGAAGACTACAAGTTTTAACTAATATCAAATGATCTATCAACTTAGCTACGTTAAAATGTGGAATTCACTCCTATATGTTTTCCCTTTTTAAGTAATTTACAGCTTATAAACAAAACTACACTACTTAGGAAGGATTTTATATCTTAAATACTGTCTTAAACAATTTGAGTGTATAAATATTTCAGTGAGAAAATATATCGTGATTTTTATATAGCAACTGAAAGATATGCAAAATAATATATATATATTTCTGGAGAATAATATCGCCAATTTAAAGAACTAGCTAATGATTAAATTATAATCTTTAGAAACAATTAGAGATTATTAACGATATAAAACTTTCTAGAAACAAAAGGTTATCTTTTTCCTATTCTTACTTTCCAGGACAATAAACTTGTTAACTACGGCCGACTGGGCTCAGAATACTTCACCTGTATAGCTTGCGTTTTCGCTACTTGACTGACTTAGTAGGTTGCACACTTCCACAGATGTAGGACACTAATTCATAACAGATGTCTCCGTTTGAAATTGTTGGTTTTTCTGACATCTCGTGCCACTTTTATTTAACATTCATCCATGCTTAATAGACAAGGCTTGCTGAGTGGCTAGTGAACATGTCATTCATGTCTATGGGGCGTGACGTCTTTGAGAAGCCTATAGCATTCTAAATGAAATAATCGTACTGGTTTGACCACGAATAAAACAATTATGGACGTTTTAATACATCCTATCAAGCTGAGTCCTAGTTTTTGTAACCTAATGAGCAGGAAGACTTCCAGATTCTTCGTGTGCGTAAGACATTTTTATGGCTTAAACAATATATAATAAAATAGGGAATCCTAGTTGTCATAGCTTTTTGTTGATTATACTAGTTTTGGATATTATTTCTCGGCTTGATCAGCCCGCAGGAATTAAAAATGTAAACAGTTTGTGATAATAGTGTTCAAAACATTCTTAACCAAAGGTTGGTTGAGACATGCAGGTGAAGTGTTATAACACTAGCTTAATATAATAGATTAAAAGATAAATCTAGAATGTTGAACAGTGTTATAATAGTGCCCAAAACATTCTTAACCAAAGGTTGATTGAGACATGCAGGTGAAGTGTTATAACACTAGCTTAATATAATAGATTAAAAGATAAATCTAGAATGTTGGCTAATGTCCTTTAATTATAAAACTTACCAAGGAATGAATTATCAGTTGAACAATAAAATTATGTTTATAATAATAATGTTCACATATTAAGCCAAACAGGCTCTTTCAAGAGTTACATCGGAGAGTCATCCTCAACCTAGGTGAAAGTGATGAATTTATAAATTTCTTAAAACAAAAACATTTAGAGACAATGTTACGACGATGAAAGTAAATGAATTTTATTAATTCTTTTCTGTTCTCATTGTCAGATGAGTTATGTAAGCTGCAAAATGTTGTACAAATCGTTATCATGACTATATTTAAAAAGCCAAAACACACAAGTCGAATCAGAAAGTTATACTTTATACCTATCTCCAGTTACATGTTTATATATATATATATATATATTTCAAATAGTTGCTTCTTTTTGAATTTGCAATGTTTCATTTTGTATTTCGTTTAGAAATATATCTTATACGTATTTGTTATGAATAATAAGATTTGCTTACAAGAGGAAATAAAAAATTTCGTTTTATTTTATGTTAGTTGAACAAAGTGTTTAACAAATATATTTGTATATATATATATATATCCAGTCGTGTAAAAACAAAGGCTATAACGCAAAGCATATAATAAACTGGAGCAAGTACCTTCACACGTAGCCTTCAGTACATCATCAACAACAACCGTTAAATAGCTGTTGTTACAGATAAGTCAAATGCAATATTAGGGTTTTTTAAGTAGAAGAACTGGGACTGTTAACTGAAACACTAAAATCAGATTTGCTCACAAACTTGTGATAACTTGAAAATTCTTCATGTACACTTGTGTAAAATCATAAATAAATAAATACTACAATTATTTTTATTTACACAATAAACATCTTTATTTGAAACTGATCTACACCAGCCAATACCAAACATTGTTTATCTAACCATTAGCCAATAACAAACATTGTTACTATTTTATAGGAAACATTATTCACAGTTATACTCTACATGTTTCGCATGATCTGAAGATCATCCTCAAATAAAGATGATTATGGTGTAAACAAAAATATGCTATTGTTTTTAGCTGTAGTGTTTATTTTTATATGATAACTTACTTTTATGTAATTAAAATTTAAATATTTTCATTGAGTGTACATATACCTTAGAAAAAGCTACACAATAACCTATCTGCGTTCTGTCCATCACAAGAAACTGAGCCCCAGATTTTATTTTTTTCATTTCACAAGGTTACAGCCATGTAGGATAAGTAACCAAAAATAACACACACACATAAAATGTTTCACAAAGTCATTAATCCAAATGTAGAAAATATTTGAAACAGAATTCGAAATCTTTAATTAATCTGAAACTAAGCCTAGACTTAGAATAACAGGAGCCAATTAGTAAAATTACTTTGAACTTTGAGCTGATGCACTTCTTGGACAGAAAAATATATTGTGGTAACGTAAAGAGTAAGGACTTTCTCTAGTAAGAATTAACAATTTGAGTTCAGGATTAAAAGTATTCATATCTTTGGCAACACAGATGAATCGGGTAATGGTGAAAAGACCACATTCCTTGAATTTATTTATAACAGTTGAACAGTAAGGAAGCCCCAGTGTGAGCCTCAAAACCCGCTTTTGTAACATCCGAATGGGTCTTAAAGCACCAATATTTATACCGCAGACACTTAACAATAAGTCATTTGAATATAAGAATATGAAATAATAAATCTGATAAATCACCTGTACAGCAAACATTTTCTTACACCTCTTCATGATATAAGTAGCTCTTGCTGTAATTCTGTAAACTTACCGCTGACCCATCGGAGAACCACAGAAAATTAAAGTAATTCCAAGTTTAAACAATTGTTAACCTGCATAGCTTAAATGTTTAAATAATTTTAGAATCGAAAATTTTAAGTATAAAAGTTTTAAAACAATAAATTCAAATAAGCCTTTGAAACGGTTGTGCTTTTAAAATTAAGACGCAAACAGTTCAGAAATGAAATTCTGGTAAGAACTTGAAACGTATACAGTTTACAAAATGTAGATCAAGCAAGCGCTTAAAACATATGGAATTGAAAAAAGTTCACGTATAGAACAAACACTTTTACGTACCCTCTTATGGCTACTGAGTTTGAAAAACAAAAATATAACACTACTACTGACACAGAAGTGTCTCGATAAAATGTTTGTATTTTGTCAAACGAAAATAAAAACTTGACAGTCCTCATCTAAACTATACCAATATATTTGTTTGAATTGTAGCCACACATTATTGTGCATACATGCTTTAGCTGTTACACTTAGTTATAAAGGAGCATTTTTTATATTGTTACGTCTGTGTTCGTTTGTTAATTTTTCGTAGAAATTCTTTCCGAGAAACTTCA